AGTGGCATATATGCCACAGACCAACCTTCAAACAATGGAGACTTAATGCTTCGCTCCTTAACGATAAAGAATTTACCAGCTTTATCATAACAGAACTTAATAATTATTTGGATACTAATGTCTCATCAGAAACATCACCTCTTATATTGTGGGACTGTGCTGAAGTGTACATCCGGGGTCGTATTATCTCATATACATGCACTAAAAAAAGAAAAAAAGAATGCCAAGCAGCAGGAATTAGAGGACAAAATAAGGGATTTAGAAAAGCAACATAAACAAACCACTTCAAATAGACTTATTAAAGCTCTTAGCGCAACCCGTAGAGAACTTAACAGTTTGTTATCAGAGAAGGTTGAGGGAAGCTTAAGATTTATTAACCAGCAATATTATGAATATGGTAACAGAGCAAGTAGGTTATTGGCATTTAGATTGAAAAAGCAACAATCATCTAACATAGTGCAGAAAATAAAATCTAAGGATACTAAATTTTGTATGAAACCAAATGAGATAGCAGAATCCTTTGCAGAATTCTACAAATGTTTATACAAAAACTCTGATACTTGTTCTGAGGACATACAACTCAAAACATTCTTGGAAGACATAAACATGACAACACTAACAGAATCAATGGCCAAGGAATTAGATGAACCAATAGAGGAATGGAAAATTAAGCAGGTGATCTCGAATCTGAAAAATAATAAAAGCCCAGGACCAGATGGATTTATTAATGAATTTTACAAAACCTTTAAAGATATTTTATCTCCCCTGTTATTAAAAGCATACCATCATGTGTTTGAGTTTAAAGTTTTAGCCCCCTCTTGGAAAGAAGCAACAATAGTAGTAATACATAAAGAGGGCAAAGATCCTACTGAATTCCAATCCTATAGGCCTATATCACTATTGAATGCAGATTTGCGTATTTTAACAGCAGTCTGGCTAGACGTGTCAGTAAGATTATTACCCAAATTATCCATCCTGATCAGACTGGTTTTATCACCGGAAGATACTATGGAGATAACATCAGAAGATTACTTAATATAATGTCCTACCAAAAAGATAAAGAAAAAGAAGAAATATTAAAAAAAAATTATATCATTGGATGCCGAGAAGGCCTTTGATCGTGTATCATGGCAGTATTTGTTTCAAACACTAAAATGGTTTAAATTTGGCCCTAACTTCATAAATTGGATACAAACACTCTATTCAGACCCACAGGCTGCCGTCAGAGTTAATGGGTGTAGGTCAGAGAAATTTACATTAGAACCCGGATGTAGACAGGGCTGTTCGCTCTTGCCTCTTTTGTTTGCAATTAGTATCGAACCACTAGCACAGCTCATGAGAGATGAGAAAAATATAAAAGGAATCGAAATAAATAAAGAAGAACATAAAATATCCCTTTATGCAGATGATGTACTATTGTACTTAACAGAACCAATAACAACGATATCACACTTAAAGAAACGTATTTCTCAGTATGGATACTATTCAGGATATAAAATGAATGTGGAAAAAACAGAAGCTATGGATATTAATGGCAAAATACCACAAAGTATAAAACTCCAGAGTGGATTCAAGTGGCCAAAAGATGATATTAAATATCTTGGTATACACATCCCTAAATCTGTACAAAACCTTTATGTTGCAAATTATAAAAAAAAATAATTTGCTGTATTAGTAAAGATTTGGACCAATGGTCCACACTCCCTCTGTCTTTGCTAGGTCATATTGAAACTATACGTATGAATGTTTTGCCCAGGTTGCTTTATTTATTTCAGATGTTACCCATTGAAGTTCCAAAGTCTACTTTTAATCATTTGGATAAATTGATTTCTCAGTTTATATGGCAAAGAAAACGTCCAAGAATTAGGAACATTGCAGCTATCCAAATCAGATGGTAGGCTTAAATTGCCTAACTTAAAATATTATTTCTGGGCTGCACAGATGAAGCCTTTGTTAACATGGATCCAGAATAATATAAATACACGCTGACTTAATATCAAAAAAGTATGTGTCCAGTGCCCCTCAATGTCTTACCATTTTTGGATGCCCCTATAAAAGAATTGGGACAATGGACTGCAGTTACCTTTAAGATATGGAAAAAAATACAATCAATATTCAGGCTGCCCAAGACAATCTCACTGTTAGCAAGTATTGGACACATGAAAACCTTTATCCCAACAGTTTGGATACGGGGTTTAAAAGATGGTCAGAATATGGTTTAACCAAACTGTATCAGATGTTGGACAGGGGTAACCTTAAGACATTTGAACAGCTAGAAAATGAATTTGCTCTCCCCAGAACAGACTTTTTTAGATATTTGCAATTGAGACATTACACACAAAGAATGGGGAAACTTATAAAACCTACATATATAGAAAATTATTTCATGGAATTACAAAATAAGAATGGAAGGGAAAGAATAATTTGTAAACTGTATCAAATATTCATGTCTATGAACCTAAATAATTCTTTAAACATAAAGCAGAGATAGGAATCAGAGCTAAATGTGGATATAACACAGAGTACTTGGAACGAAATATGCACCGAAGCAAGTCTAGTGACCAATTCAAACATCTGGAGGGAATTCAAATGGAAAGTCATCACCAGATATTTCCGAATGCCAGAAATAGTGTCAAAGATGGGTCTAACACATAACAGTTCATGTTGGAGAAATTGTGGAGCACAAATTGGAAACCATACTCACATATTTTGGCTGTGCCCTAAGTTACAGATATTCTGGAATGAAGTATTTCATGCTCTTAAGGAAGTATTTCAGCAGAATATTCCACAAGATCCTAGAGTAGCAATATTGGGAGTAATACCGACAACTTAGAGGGGAGACCTAAGAAATACATTCTAGGAATATTACTGACGGTAGCTCTGAAATGTATTACAATTAAATGGATGAATCCAGACCCTCCCACATATAATTTATGGATCCAAAAGGTGTGGGATGTCTACCAAATGGAACAAATAACATACTTGTTAAGAATTCAAAAAGATACATTTACGAAGAGATGGAGCCCTGTTATAGATCTACTAATGCAGTGAGAAATACAACCCCCCCCCTTAATGATTGTCTAATTAATTGTTTATTTATTTTTAGACAATCATGTTCTGTTCTCACATTATTTTCATTATTTTTTCTTATGTTATTGATTACTTTTATTTTGAAGTGGATTCCCTTTGTTGCTCTTTTTATTTGTGTAATAATTAAGATTGAAGAGTGTGTAGATATGACTTGTATTTTTATAGCCCCCCCCCATGGAAACATTGTAATACTGTTAAAAAAAATTAATAAAAATTAAGTTTAAAGCTTGACAATGTGATTTTTTTTTTCCTGCTGAGGGGATGTGTCTGTCATTTTTGTGGACCCACTACAAAGCCATTTTTCCACTGGACCACATTTTTTTTATTAAAACATTGATTTGTGCGATCCATTTAGCATTTCCATTTGCAATCCAGCTGTCAAACACTGTAATTGTGTAATATTAATGCAGGAGCTAAATGCGAAAATAGACCTTATGTCCTTAGTGCAGCAGTTGTTTTTTGAACATGCACCAGTGCATTTAATGAAGCACCACTAGTTAGGTCATTCCACTTTCAATTGACTAATACAGTTATATAGCAATATTGACTGGTAGTCTCACGAAATTTGCCTAAAGGGATCCCAGTCACCAATGGAAACTATGGATGGAGAGGGTTCAGGCAGGGAAAGAGACACGGAAGAGACATGATTACTAATGAAATGGCATACACAGTACAGTGAGGATATATCTGAAAATGTTTGTAGATATACTGTTCCCTTTAGATTCATCTAGCAGTAGTCCACTAGGCTAACCCAGTCAGCACTGGCTGCAGAAACATCTTAAACTGTATTTAGAATGTTTATATTATTGTTATTATTATTATTAGTAGTAGTGGTAGTAAATAATTCAAATACACTAATATATTGATTAGAGGAGAAGAATGGTGAATGTTGAGCTTCTAAAAAATGCAAATGCATAATTAGGCTTATGTAAAGTAAATGGCTATGCACGTTGTTCAGTGCAATTTAAAATATAGATAGATGCAGTTTTTGCTGCCAGTTTAGCAAATGCACAGTAGCTACAAGAGGTGATTAAAACCGATTGTCTCAATCAATCAATGTTCAGTCAATGTTCGCACATTATTTATTACTCATCAGTGATTCCAAAGATGAAATTCAAAGGTGAAAATGTTTTGAAATTTGGAGAACAGATGGGGGTCTGCATTTGCTTGCATCAAAATAGCAGCCTAGGTGTATAACCATTATTACCATTAAAGTCCTTTGCCTCTGCATTATGAAGAATAGAATTATGAGTTGCTAAAAACCTCATATCTTCAAAAAAGTAACTTTACAGGAGAAAGAAATAACGTACTTAACTTTCAATTAAAGTTAATGTAACAAGATGTTATTTTAACTCCTTTTGGAACATTTCTGTTGGTCCACTCACTGTAAACGGCAGCTGATGTTTTCAAATCATGTAAAAAATACATAAATAAATGACAAAAGAGATAAAAGGTTTGTTTCAACAGTGACAATATATTTGTGGCAGGTGCCCGACCCATGGGCACCAATGACAGAGGCAAGAGACGGCAGGGTGCCGATGCCTGAGCCCCACGCCGACAGAAAGTTGCAGAAGTCCAGTGCACCAACGCTGGAGTTTGGGGGTCGGGTGCCTGACACAACATTGTCATGCAGCGGTGTTATAAATCAGTTGTTATGAATCGGCAGTGTTATGAATCAGAAAAAAACGTATATGATTGACACTTGGGCACATGCAGTGGCATATAGAAAGTAATTAGAGTGCTGTCACTTCAATTAGAGCTGAACTACCAGCTAACTAGTCACACTGTAGTTCTTCTGCATCCCAGTGATCAAGAACCCATTAAGTTCTTTGTGTCTATGAAATCCTTTGTGTGAGTTAAGTGACTTGATGTGTAAAATAACGGCTGATTTTTTTTTTATATTTTTGTAGGTATTTCCCAAGAGACTTGTGTCATTTTCCACATGGATAGATCACACACGCTGGGCTCGCAACACTTGGGCCATGGCTGCCATTTTCATCCTCACACTGGCAGACATAATAGATATGGTGAGGCACTGACTAGACATTTGTTTGCCTTTACAACACTGTTGGGGTTTAGAAAAGTTCTGAATCTCTAAATGTGGGAAGCACGTTATGTGGACAATATGGAGTAGTAATCAAGTTCAAGCACTGCTAATTCGTTGAGAAGGTTTTTTTTAATTCAGTAATCAAGTTTATTTGATTAATTTTGGCAGCCTTAGTAGATACTGAAAGTTGCTTGGAAATTAACCATTAGTGTTAATGTAATGGGCCTCAGGTACTGCTATGGTGCTTGTTGCTGAAATCTGTTATTTTCCACATTAACTGTCCTCTTGTAGCTAAGCTGTCGACCACCACAGCCGCCCGCAACAAGCACAGATGTGGAAAGTTCTCCAGCCCCGGCTGAACAGAGGGGCTGCCTGGAGAACCCCAAATACTACAGCTACGTTGCTGTGCTAGCACTGATAGCCACTACCATGCTGGTGCAGGTCAGCCACATGGTCAAGCTCACGCTCATGCTTCTGATCACAGTGGCCACAGGTGTAGTCAACATCTACAACTGGAGGGACATCTTTGACCAGTATGATCTGGTGCGCTATGAGGAGTACAGGTGGGCACCGATCAAAGGGAGGATTGTTGTATTACGAACCTAAAAGCTTTTCCTCACTGAATTCAGTGTAATGTTTTTTGTTTCTGTGCAGAGTATACCTGGTGCCCTCCAAATACACAATGACTGTGATGATCTTCATCATGATGGTCAGCTTCTACTACTTTGCCCGACACGTACGTGATTGCCCAGATTCTTCTGCCATCCTTTCTTCACCTTTCCTTCCTTCATTGTTAAAAAGTAAAGGTACCAAGAAGATCTCTGGAGCTTTACCATAGAAGAACCACTTTTGGTTCCTTGAAGAACATTTCAGTAGTTCTTCAAAGAAACATTTTGATAAATGAAAAGTGCACGTATGAAGACCCCTTCAATGTTTAAAGAATCTGTGCATATTGTAAAGGTTCTATAACAGTTTTTCTTACAACCATATGTCCAATCTAAGATCCACAGAGGAACCTTTTTAAGAGTGTATTTCTCACATTCCTTTCTTTTACCTTGTTGATAACATCATGTCTCTCTGTCTTTCAGGTGGAGAAACTGGCCCGCACGCTGTTCCTGTGGAAAATTGAGGTGCATGAACAGAAGGAGAAAGTGTATGAGATGAGGCGCTGGAATGAGGCTTTGGTCACCAACATGCTTCCAGAGCATGTCGCACGCCACTTCCTGGGTTCCAAGAAGAGGGATGAGGTACGAAAATCCTTCTTATCAATTTCAGGATATAAGTAGCTCAAAAACTGTGCAGTCTGCATATGTTTGCGATCAACAGGAGCTGTACAGCCAGTCCTATGATGAGATTGGGGTGATGTTTGCCTCTATCCCTAATTTCTCTGACTTCTACACGGAGGAGAGCATCAACAACGGGGGTATCGAGTGCTTGAGGTTCCTCAATGAAATCATCTCTGACTTTGACAGTGTAAGTAATATTTTAACATTTCTTTTTAAGCATTTAGATTGTACTTCTGTATAGACACTGTTAAACAAAAGCTTGTTTCTCAGAAACGTTGGAAAAAAGTATACATGTGCATTCATGTATTGAGATTTTACTACATAAAACTTTGGAGCATTTCTGTTTGTCCACTTGTCATAAAATGTTCACTCAAAACATGGAAGAGTTAGAGTTAGGAGGTTTTATATGACCAGGTCTTCCATCTTGTCCTTTACAGCTTCTGGATGAACCTCAGTTTCGCTGTATCACCAAGATTAAGACTATCGGCAGCACTTATATGGCAGCATCTGGGGTCACTCCTGACAACAACACCAACGGTTATGCTTGCATGAAGGTAATAAAGTCAGAATAGTCATTGTACCTGCATATAGTTGTGATGTTGATTACCCTGCTGATGTCCAGTGATCGACCTGAGCATTTTTCCCACTCAACAGAAGGAGGAATTATCTGATAGGGAGCGCTGGCAGCACTTGGCTGATCTGGCAGATTTTGCTCTGGCCATGAAGGTTACTCTTATGAACATCAACTACCAGTCATTTAACAACTTCATGCTTCGCATTGGTAAGCGGACAGTCATCTAGTGTGCAGGAGATTTGATATGATGTTTGTGCCATTCATTGCTTACTTTCTTTTACATCTTTTCTCCACAGGCCTGAATAAAGGGGGTGTTCTGGCTGGCGTCATAGGGGCTCGAAAGCCACATTTTGACATTTGGGGAAACACTGTTAATGTGGCCAGCCGCATGGAATCTACAGGGGTGATGGGGAACATCCAGGTGAATCCTGGCATTTATGAGGCTTAAATATGTTAGAAAGCAGAAAGCATTCAATCCTTCTGTCCCGAAGTTCACACTTGCAGTTTTGTGTAGTGAAACTTACACTCAAAAGTGATTTGATTAATTTGAAGCACCGCATTTGTTTCGGAATCAAAATGAAAAGTCACATGACTAGCCCAGTGAGGTTTCATTACATCACACTGTGTCAAAACATTTCAAAATGTTTTCGGTATATGCAAAAAAGTGCAAGCTGCTGATATGTGATCAGGATATTTTGACGCTAAATACACCTAAGTGAGTCGGAAAATCCTTTTTTATGATCCCTGATTAGTTACTGTTGTTTGCAAAACTGTGACTTGCAAACTTTAAAAGTGATACAAAGCGTATCGCTGTTTTGTTTTTAAACATTACTATGAAAATGTATTTCTTTCTGTATTCTATTAGACGAGGTTGTTTTGAGCCCTGATTTGCCACCAGATGTCACTGTGGTGCGATGATTCAAATGCAATGAAACAACTGATTCGCTTTGAAAAATAGAATCTTTTCCTAGATCAGTTGTTTCATTTGCTTCAGTCTCTCAAAAGCCCCATTTATGCCAGCACTATATTTTTTTGTAGTCTGATATGGGGTTGTATTGAGCACAGGTTAGCCCAGATATGTCAGATACAAAGATGGACCCCCTAGTTTTGTGTATTTGTATACGTGTTCATGTGCTTTCCATACAAGTATTCAAGTGTGCCCCAATTCCTAAATGTGCAGGATGGGATATATCCCCCATTTTAAAGTGTTTTCTGATAGAAGTTTAGGAAATAATGGGAAAGAACATTAATATTGTGAGAGAACTACCTGTCCGTTAAAGAAATGGGACGCATTCACACACTTCTTGTGGTCTTAATGAGTGCTTGAACACTTTTGCTAAGTTGCGAAAAGCATTACATAAACTTCAGCAAAACCCCAAACTGCAAGCACAGAATTTGAGAGTTTGAATCTGTAATTATGCTATGGCTAGTCTGCTTTCGTCAGTAACACTAAGTCTGCTACCCCCAGGTGGTGGAGGACTGCTATAACATCCTGAAGGACTACGGCTTCCGCTTTGTGAGGAGGGGACCAATCTTTGTAAAGGGAAAAGGGGAGTTGCTCACCTATTTTCTGAAAGGACGGGAAAAACAGGGTTCCTTCATCAATGGCTCCTCTGTCACGCTACCCCACCAGGTGGTGGACAGCTCTTGACCGACAGGCATAAAACCCACACTCAAACATGAAACTCATTCGACTTAACGCACCATACACATGCAAAATAAAACCTCTTAAAGTAAGTCCATGTGTTGCAGAATGAGAGGGATGCAGACCTCAGAAATGAAGTGAAACATGAGATTCCCTCTGGTCACACTGGAGAAATACAGGGTCATGCTGTACTTAGACCTTTTCAGTGAATGAATGAGTGAATGAATGACTTTCCAGAAATATTTTATCTGCTGAAATTGAATCAGGAACCATTGTTTAAGAGTACTCGTGATCATGCCACACAAACCCAGAGAGTACACACAGTGGATGGTTACTTGTTATTAACCAATTGTATATTACACACTTCAATGCTTTTAAATTTGAGACTTACACTGCTCCTCTATAGGTTGTTGTTGAAAATTCTATTGTAAATCTAAAGTTTATTTGATTGTTTTATTTTTTGGAGTTGAGGAGTGTGTCTTCAAGTGTGTGAAGGGAAGCACACAGGCTCCCTCTGCCTCTCATGTGTGTATGCAGATGTGTGCACGTACAAGTATGTGTGTGTGTCCTCACCTGCTGTTCCCGACGTGTATGTATCTACTCCCTTTTATTTGTGGACTTTGCAGCCATTTCCAGCCAATCTACATTTTTTACCCAGATAAAAGTGTTTTTAGTGTGCCATACAACCAGTGCCACAACATCATTACGTGTCCTGTATGTATGCTACTCCGGGGTGTTTGACGTGTCACTGTGAGCAGGTTAAATGCAAGCGTGTATGTACAGTATGCATGCACTAAATGAAAGTGCAGCCGGGGTTAAGACTTTTTTGGCAGTATTGGAGGGATGGGTGTTTCTTAGCTCAGATTATATTCCCCTCAAAAGTCTTTCCTAAAAGATTAGATGAATGTGCAATAGTTTATTCTTTTACGATGCTCTGTTCTCCAGTACCCTTTGCAAAAAAGAAACCCACATTCTTCTCCCTGTAAGTCATATTTTTATATTATGATTGTATATGTTTTATTCTAGCTAAAGAGTATTGTGCAGTGTGAGCAGATATAGGACTGGCGTAGTGTGCCTGACTGCACTGCTGATGGTTTCCTCTGTTAATTTATTGCAGATGTCAGGGATATTGTATGAAAAACCACAGACAGCATTGCAATTGTTACTGAATCCCCATGTGTTGTAACAGAATGAAGGAAAAGACTTCTGGCCTGATGGAGGATTTTACTGAAATTTGATTTGTATTTTTGAAATATCCTTAGACATGGGAATAAAATGGCACTTTGGATGATCTGTAGGTGTCTCCTGTTTGTATTCTATTCAAAAATATTATACATAGGACTTATAATAGATTTAAAAAGACACCACACACATTTCTTTATGAGCTGGTTTCCCAGACATGGATTAAGAGCAGTCTTGGAGTAAATTACAATCCCATTGCTGATTTACCAATGAAAATCCTTTTCAGTCTGGGTTTAGACTTAATCTGGCTCTGGGATGCCAGCCCTATGAGTTTAAAATGATGTGATTATTTAATGAAAAAATGCATCTTAAGATAAATGGTAAGATGGTGATCTTAAAGCCGTGGTATAAGGGCAACTTCCTGAGGCTGTGGTTCAGCATTTTTTCCCGCAAGCAGGTATGTATCAGTGACTAGCTTTAGGGTCACCTGGAATAAACTTCACCAGTTGGGCATTGAAATACTGGGGGGTTGATTTCGCTAAGACGTTGCTTTCGAAATTGATATTGGATATCGGTTTTACAGAGAAACATTAAGGATACCGTCTTCCAAGCCATTCTATAATAACCAGGCTGATGCAGCATTCAAGCTGCCAAACGTAAAAACCTGTTGAAGTGTTAAGATTATTAAATCACTGCAAGAAATGCACACTAAAATTCTTAGTTCAGCCTGTCACATCGCACTACGAATCCAGCTCAGATCTACACAGGAACAGATCACTTCATTATCGATCAGTATGCAATTTTCTCCATTTACACATGCAAAAGAGATGCGGTCTTACTCCATGAAAAAATCCTAAACAGATCTTTGACCCTATTACCGACCAAACCGACCTAGACAAAAAAGGAAACAGACCCTGTTGACAGTGATTCCAAAACCGAAGAGGTTTTTTTTAGCCGTTTAAAACTCTACAGTGTTTTCTACCGACGCGCTTGAAGGCAGCGTTTAAAGCTCAAGGTTGTTCAGGGCTTCCCGGTGACGTCACTGCGCACAGACGTCCGTCATGGTGCTGCAGCTGTTTCGCTGACAAACAATAACAAGACCGACAGAAGAAAAAAAAAGACAACACGAGCGAAACCAAACCGACTTTAACTTCTTCTGACACGTCGTCCGCGCAAGCCGAGAACGCGGGCGCTCTGTCACGGTTGCTCTCGGCGAGGTTAACTCTGGCCTCCGCTTCCTCCTCCTCCGACTCGGCAGCCGGCGGAGCTTCGCCGCCGCGGAAGAAAGCCCGAGCGCGGGCGGCGGAGGGAGCAGGAGAGAGCGGGGCTTCTCTCGCCACCGCAGGCCTCACCGCGCTTGTTTTGGGTCTCCCCTCTTTCTCTTCTGTCCTGTGTCCCCGCTCAGGCTCCGGGCCCCTCGACGTTAACGCGCACAGAGTCGCCTGCCTCAGCGGTGCGAACATGCAAGCCAACGGGGCAGGACAGGGACAGGAGCCGGAGCTGCCGTGCCTGAACAGCGCCCAAAACGGAGAGTCGTCAGCGGCCAGCGGAGCGCATTCAAACGGGTTGCTGGCCTCCTCCGCGGACGGCGGAACAAACGCCGGTGTCACCGCGGCTAACAATGGCATCCAGCCGGCAGGCAGCAGCTCTGCCGCTTCGGCCGCAGCGACCTTGGGCTCCGAGACGGGCTCCATGAAGAAGAAGAAGCGGCTGTCTCAGGCAGATGAAGATGTCATCCGCTTGATAGGGCAGCATCTACACGGCTTAGGGCTGAAGTAAGTACGGCGAAACGGTTCGGCTTTTTAAAGTAAACATGTCGCGGTAGTGTTAGCGCACACCACCGTGTTACGAAGGGCTGATTTTTATCTGTTGACACGTTAGCCATAGCCATCATACCAAGCCTGCTAATGCGAGCTGACAGCAGGAGCATGATAAACAAACAGGGGGAAAAGAGGAGGGAGGCAGGGGGCTCCATTTTGCAGAACGGAGAAAGGACTGCCAGAAGAGAACAGCTGTATTATTCTGATTATTGTTACTCTGGGTCACAATGAATCCACTCAGCACACTAGTTGTTTACCTAAATGTAATTTTAAGGAATGTATTTATTATTACATGGAAGATGTGAAGTAGACTGTTGCTTACAATAAGATCCTCTGAAATCGCTTTTAAATGGTCTACGCTCTTGTCACTGAATTTACTGCATGCTACGCCTATTTTAATTACTTAAAATGGTGACTAATAGAAAAGGGCTCTTAAAACAGCTGAATCAGATTGTTTTTACTCGTACTGTAGTAGTCATTGGATTCATCAGATAGACCTGTATGCAGCAGAGCTGTAAACTCTGAGGATTTCAGCTGAAGTATTGTTGTTATTATGGATCACATATGGGGGATATTTTCAATTACTTGTGGTGCCTAATTAAAAAGGGACCCTGTGGTATTTAAATTGGCATTAAACTGTATTTTCTCTCCTTTATTCTTGCTTTACAGATGGCTGTTCTGACAACTACTGAGTGCACCACTTTGTGTCAGTGTTAATATTAGTCAAATGCAATGTCTATTTTCATCCTTTTTCTTAGTCAGACTGTGGACTTGCTGATGCAGGAATCAGGCTGTAGACTTGAGCATCCTGCTGCCACCAAGTTCCGCAACCATGTCATGGAAGGGGAATGGGACAAGGTACCAAGAACACATTCATCTGAGAGCCTGAGCTTGTGTCCTGTAGTTCACAGTGCTGATCAAAGTCTATTATTTTACTGAATTGGTAATAAGGAAAAATTCACATTTAATTATTTGATGGGAACTGTATTAATATAGGATTGCCATAGCTAGTTATTGTGCTGCTAACCAGGATCTTTCTTTTATATTTTATTTCTTCCATTGGCATCCACTTCTAACATTTGTGTGGTTTTATGTACCAACAATGCCTAAGATTCAAGTTTACATAATAATTTTTTTGTTCGATAGTCTCTTAAAATTAAACACACTCTCTTTCCTATTGTGACATCTATCATATAGACTGTATGGACCAGCTAGTGAAGGGTACATATTTAAATTTCAGCAGTGTTAACGTATTATTTCAGATTCCTTGGGAAATTAATTTTTCCATGGAACAGGCTCTTTAAACTCAGACTTAAACTAAGGTCAGGTGTCTATAGATGTGTAGTCTGGTGTGACATTTTGCCATTTTTAAATGTTACTTATCTCACATAGGGAAAATCAGTTCTGTCCAGGGTTGGGTTTAAACTGTGCCTAGTGAATAGTTCAGTGTACTTGTAAGCCTATTGAATTGACTTCTATTCTCTGCTTTCATTACAGGCTGAAAGTGATCTCAATGAGTTGAAAACATTGATGCATTCACCAAATGCTATTGTGGTAAGAGAAAAATACTCCCACACTGCCTTTACTGTCAGGTACTGACCCTTTGCCTCATACCTGGCTGGTTGCTTGATGCTTGATCTATTTTGTGCCTCTGTTTAGCGGATGAAGTTCCTGCTCTTGCAGCAGAAGTATTTGGAGTATTTAGAAGATGGAAAGGTCTTGGAGGCGTTGCATGTTCTAAGAGCAGAGTTGACTCCTCTGAAGTACAACACAGAGCGCATCCACGTCCTCAGCGGGTACAGCAGTGCTGTCTTCTAATGCACACTTCAGCCCTTTCATCTCTCTTTTCACAAGAGTGGAAAAATATGTTTGTTTGCTTTTTTGTCTCAAGAGAAGCTTATTCTTGGGTTGATGACTTTCTATCATGTATAAATAACTTGTCAAGAAATATGATTAATCTAACAACAGCAACAATTATAATCACAGGCAGAGCCTCTGTGGATTTTAAGTGCATCTATGATCATGCTCTTGATTTAACATCATGTCACGATGCAAAAGCCAGAAAAAAAGGCACAAAATGGGGGGAAAAAAACAATCAACAGTACTGAGTCCTAAAGGCCAACTCTCAATTTGAGGTGAATGCTTATATTGTGATGTGTTCTGCTGAACTAAATAACCAAATAAGGGAGCAGATTCCATTTTCCTGGTACAAATAATATGTAAGAAAATGTAATAAAACATGGTGAAAGTGTCTGGATTATATAGAAGTGTGCAAGGAAACATTAGTAAGCCACATAATTTGATGATTTGGATGATTTAATTTGTTGGCTGCTTAGGTATCTGATGTGCAGTCATTCAGACGATCTCCGAGCCAAGGCTGAGTGGGAGGGAAAAGGAATATCTTCTCGCTCAAAACTGCTTGACAAACTCCAGAGTGAGTACCTCTGAGCAGTACCCACTAACGCATCCTTCATGTGTCGTCCTCTGTTCTTGATCCTCATGTTGCGTTTTGTAGATCTCATAATATGGTGCTTGCATTATGGTGAAAAAGTTGTGTTACACAGATTCCTCTGCCATATTTACATTTATTTCCCCCATTTTTCCTTTCTTTATTTTCTTATCTGTCTATCAGTGTCATGTAATTCCCTTTTGCCTCTCACATTCAGGGTTTGGGTCAGTATCATTTGAATTCAGTCATTTCAGGAGACAAATTGAATTCAGGAGTCTTATTAAATGCATTAGGAATAGAAGCCTAGTAGTGAATGTCAGTTGACAATGAACTGAATTCAGTGCATCTCCTAAAGTGGCTGAGTTGAGAAGAAATTGACCCTAACCCTGCTTACAGTCTTTAATCAGCTTGATCTCCCTACTTTCTCGTATTTGGCAAACTGCCCCTCCCACTCCATCTTTCTCCATCTCTCTCTCTCTCTTTCTTTCTTCAGCATACCTGCCCCCTTCGGTGATGCTGCCACCTCGCAGGCTACAGACTCTTTTACGTCAGGCAGTGGAGCTGCAGAGAGATCGCTGCCTTTACCACAATACCAAATTGGACAGTAACCTGGACTCTGTGTCTCTGCTGGTGGACCATGTTTGCAGCAGGTAAATGTGCTGTGTATGGTCTTACCGACATATCAATATCCCTTTTGCTTTTTCTACTGTATTTGGGGGAACATGTTTTGTATCTCTTTTGGTTTGAGGACATATCTGTCTTGGCTTGAAATGTTTGCCACACAGCTTATTGGTTGCCAGTGATTCTCTTTCTGTTATCATTTTTCTTGCTCATGCCAATTCAT